ACTTCGAAAGGGGTCAGTTGAAGTGGTTCGGGCATCTGATCAGGATCCTCCTGGGCGCCTCCTGTTAGAGGTGTTCCTGGCACATCCCACTGGTAGGAGGCCCCGGGGCAGACCCAGAACACACTGAAGGGATTACATATCTCATCTGGCCTAGGAACACCTTGGGGTCCCCCAGGAGGAGCTGGGAAGCGTTGCTGGGGAGAGGGATATATCTGGGGTGCTTTGCATGGCCTGGATGAACAGTTCTTGTTGAGGTCGCTTAGCAACCTCAGATGCAGCCTGCCTCTGTGCCGATACTATCGTGCATCCCTACAACAGTGCTAACCACTGGCTAACCACCGGCTTCCTCTCACAGTCCAAAGATATGCAGGTCACATTAACTGGAGACTGTGAATGTGAGCGTGAATATCTCGGTGTGTCAGCCCTGTGACAGTTCGGCGACCTGGGATAGGATCCAGCTCCCTCACGACCCTGGTTAAGAATATTTTGGATTGTTTTTTGTATTTTAATGTAAATAAGATTATGAACAATACCAGAGGACATAAAAGCACCAAAACAGCTTTTTTTAATCCACAAAACGGGCCAGAAGTGGATCTTCCAGACCCCTTGACAGAGGTATGGGCTGAGCCCCGAACGTCCTGGAATCCTAGAATCGCGACTGTGTATACCTGACCTGTGCGGAGCTGCTACAACTGGCCCCTGGATTTTTGCACAAATGGCTCCTGGGCAAAGCAAGTTGAGTATCCCTGGTGTAGTAATTTCACCCATCCTTTTATATTCAAAGAATGTCATCTAGAACCCACCTGGAGGGGCTCCATGGGTAGTAATGAATGACATTGCATAATGTTCTTCTTCCCTCTAATCATGGTCCTAGTTAACAGGTTAGCCTTGGGCCATGGTAACAACATTCGGCAGTACTTGTCCACATTAGGGCCGGGGCTAATGTGGTCAAACGCAAGCGTCAACACTCATGGTTCGCAATCATGTTTTTAGGGGGTGGAAATTTTGTGACATAACTACTACAACACTACATGATTACCTCTCTGGCAAACGCTGGTGCAGTGGTCAGCATTGTTGCCTCACAGCAAGAGGGTTCCTGGTTTGAACCTAGTGTGGGGCGAGCCCCTTTTTTTGGGAGTTTGCATGTTCTCCCTGTGTCAGCGTTGGTTTCCTCCAGGTGCTCCGGCTTCCTCCCACAGTCCAAAGACATGCAGGCTAATTGGTGACTCTAAATTTTCCGTAGGTGTGAATGTGAGTGTGAATGGTTGTCTGTCTCTATGTGTCAGCCCTGTGATAGTCTGGTGACCTGTCCAGGGTGTACCCTGCCTCTTGACCAATGTCATCTGGGATTGGCTCCAGCCCCCCTGCGACACCCATCAGGATAAGCGGTAATGGAAAAAATGAACTACTACTACAGCCTTTACTATTTTAAATGATACAGTAGGATTGAGAACCAAAAACTCTGGTCCAAATTAGAACAGAGACTAGAAGAACACCAGCGTTACATCTACATTTAAAAATGCCATTTGAAACATGGGTAAACATGTAAACATTTGAGGGTAACATCAATGCTTCCAACAATTCTTGAACACTTTCTTTAAAGACGGGTTCTTCAGAAACAAATGGTTGTGGGTAGACCCTCAGTCGGTCAGGAAGAACCCTTTTGGGACCCTTATTTCTAGAGTATAGATCGTAAATCAATACTGTTTGGGTTTTGGACTGTTGATTGGACCAAACAAGCTATCTGAAGACATCATATTGGGATTAAGGAACTGTAACAGGCATTTACAACTGTTTTCTGACTAAAATATCAATCGATTACATAAAAACAAGTATTATTGCTTGAGTAAATGGGAGGTCATTGAAGAGTGTGGGGTGAAAATTAGGATTTGTAAGGTTCCCAGGGATGATAATGGAGTTGTGGAGTAGCTGGAGGGGCAAACACTGTCATGTGTTCTTGTGATGATAGTCATGTGTGCTGCTATCCAAGCTGCGTACACTATACAGTACATGCGGCTGTGTTTTCCCCTCATGAAATATCATGTGTCTGTTAGGAAACAGCGGTTTAGGTAGTGCTTGGGTAACAGAAAAGGGTGGAGGACCTCGCTCGCTCCGCTGCTCAGTCATCCTGCGTCTGTGAGTGTTATTCTGGGTCAGCCATTTCCCTGGAATGTTCTGCCTCCTGCCAAAGAGAAGTCACTACAATGGCATGCACACATAACACTGCAGAAACACAGGGATGACTTAAAAAGGCCTGAAAGTGAGGAGACATGCCCCCGTGTACGTGTGTCTCTCCTGGTGGTGGCACATTTGCCTTCCTGTCTTCACCGCTCTCACGCATGAATATTGAAAAACAACACCTACAGTTATGAAATAAGTGTGTGTACAATATGGTGAGCCATCTGCCTGAACTCTGCATCACACTCCCATGAGCATAATCAATTTTTAGAGGGAGGGAAAGCAAGATGGCATGTTTTCCTGTCCTTTTCTTTATCCTCACCTCCATCAAAAATGCAGAAGCGAGATGAACGACATTCTTAAATCTGAGAGTGTAGCCAGCTTTGTTTTTTTACTCCCTCTTTGTCTCCTCAGCCCTCCCCATCTACCCTGCCCCCCCTTCCCTCTTTCTTTATTTCCTCCTGGAGGTCAGGTTGTTGCAGCACTGTCTCAGAGTCAAAGCAGGGTCAACGCCTCGTCTTAGGTTTTGTGTGGAGCTATGTGGTGGAGGAGTCAGTCACTCCGTCCTGTGACATTGTGAAATGACTGCAGTAGTAGACTGGATATTGTGTGTAAAGTGTGTGTGTGATTGTACTATGCGGCAGGTCGTGGGGGAGGAAGCAGCAGCAGCAGCAGCAGTGTGGAGTGTAGAGGTGGTGGTGGTGGTGGTGGTGGTGGTGGTGGGGAGTGATATGGATAGTGTGGAGGAAAAAAAATGAAGAAATGGGAAATCTCGGCACCTGTTTCCAGGGCAACAGAGGTCTGAAAAACACAGGCAGGTTGGACTTTTTTATTCTCCACACTGCACTGCCCTCTGGCAAGATACTGCAGACACCTCTTAATGACTCCAAAAACACTCGCTGCCGGCCCTACTGCTGCTGCAGCTGAAACACTGCCTGGCTCGCAAGTGACACCACCACCACCACCACCTCTCTATGCGTGTGTGTGTGGAGCTAACATTGTTACACTTATATGCAGGTGAATAAGTGGAAATCACAGACCGTGTTGTATGCATGTGTTGTATGCATGGATCATACATACATGATAATGCACTGGTGATGTTACCCTCCATGATCATCACCACCACCTCCACCTCTCTATGCATGTATGAGGAGCTAATATTGTGACACATATGCATGTATGGATCATACATATGTGTCATGTTCGGGTGACCTCACTCTCCATGATCTCCTGCCCCTCCATCATGACCACACAACCTCCACCACCACCCTCCTCCCTGTGCATGTGTGCACACTGCTGTGGCACTTTCATTGTGACACATATATGCAGGTGCACTGGTGGAAATCACATACCGTGATGCATGCATGGATCATACATATGTGAGAATGCACAGGTGACATCACTCTCCATGATCTCCTGCCTCCATCACCACCACCACCCTCCTCGCTGTGCATGTATGCAGCTAAATTTGTGACACACATGCAGCAGGTGCATGAGTGGTGATCACACACCATGTTGCACGCATGGATCATACATGTGTCATGTGTGAGTGACGTCACTCTCCATGATCCTCACCAACCAACCGTCCATCACCATCACACCACCTTCAGCACCACCCTCCTCTCTGTGCATGTGTGTGTTTGCACTGCTGTGGTGCTTTTATTGTGACATATATGTGGGTGCATTGGTGGAAATCACAGACCATGATGCATGCATGGATTGTACATATATGTCATGTGTGCGTGACGTAATTCTCCATCATCCCACCCCCTCTCCATCACCTCGACCCCCACCCTCCTCTCTGTGCATATGTGCAGCTAACACTGTGACATATGCAGGTGCATGAGTGATAATCATAGACCATGTTGCATGTGTGGATCATACATATGTGTCATGTGTGAGTGACATCGTTCTGCATGATCCCACCCCTTCTCCATCACCACCACCACCCTCCTCTCTGTGCATGTGTGCAGCTAATATTGTCGCAGGTGCATGAGCGGTAATCTAAGACCATGTTGCATGCAAGGATCATATGTAAGAATGCATCACTCATTACCTCCACCACCACCCTCCTCTCTGTGCGTGTGTTTGCACTGCTGTGGTGCTTTTATTGTGACACATATGCGCTGGTGGAAATCACAGACCATGTTGCATGCATGGATCGTACATATGTGTCATGTGTGAGTGACGTAATTCTCCATGATCCCACCCCCTCTCCATCACCACCACCACCACCCTCCTCTCTGTGCATGTGTGCAGCTAAAATTGTGACACACATGCAGGTGCATGAGCGTTAATCTCAGACCATGTTGCATGCGTGGATCCAACATACATGAGAATGCATGACCCTCCATGATGTCCCGCCCCTTCATCACCACCACCACCACCACCACCACCACCACCCTTCTATCTGTGCATGTGTGTGTTTGCACTGCTGTGGTGCTTTTATTGTGACACATATATGAAGGTGCACTGGTGGAAATCATAGACCATGTTGCATACATGGATCATACATATGTGTCATGTGTGAGTGACGTCATTCTGCATGATCCCATCGCCCTCTCCATCACCACCACCACCACCACCCTTCTCTCTGTGCATGTGTGCAGCTAACATTGTGACACACACGCAGGTGCATGAGTGATAATCACACACCATGTTGCATGCATGGATCATACATACCTCGGCATGCACGGGTGACGTCATCCTCCATGATCTCGCTCCCCCCCTCTCTCTCCACCACCACCACCTCCTCCACCACCCTCCTCTCTCTTCTTCAAAATGATCTGCTGCTCTGGTCTGCAGTCAGTCAGTCAGCCCGCCGCCTGACTTGTAGGAGGAGGGACAGGAAAATGCCTTTCTCTGTGGGAGACATTAGCCCTGTGATCTCATGAATATATTACAGAGGGTCATTGTGCAATGAGGAAGGTATTGCTGAGCAGCAAGGTTATGGCCTGCCCCAAAGCACAGACTGCAACAAGCTGATTCTAATTGACTCGACTGGCTCACTTAGTGACTGTTTATATACCGCACGGAAGTTTACAATAAATAAGATAATAACATTTAAAGCGTTACGGATAGTGTGCTCACTCCTCTAAGAGTGTGGCACGTAAAAACAAAAAGACAAATATATTATTAATACGCTCGACAACACGGTAATCAAGCAGCCTTGTCTTGTTAGCCGGACTGCGACACTAGCTAGCCGTGGAGCTAACTGTCTACAACCAAGCGGCTCTTCATCGTCTGGCAGCTGGAGCAGGGAAAAAGGTAAGCTCTCATTACGTTAATTAAACATCAAGCTAGCCCTGTTAGCTCCTTAGCTAACTGCTTACGACATCGTCAAGCTAACCACTCACTTGGCGTAACGTAAAACAAGCTAACGTTACAAAGTTAGCAAAGTAGCCGTTGGCAGCTAACGGTGCCAGCGGCGCAGCCAGCAGCAGCTGCAGCGTGTTAAAGACCCTCCACAGCTCTTGTTTCCACTCACAGCCACTGACAAGACACATAATCCCAAACTTAAGGCTCCAACAACTGGAATATCACCCACGAATTACCCTTTTATTATCATTTACGTATTACACCGGCGGTGTGCTGCAACATATCTGCGTTTATCAGGCAGCTCAGCTCAGGTAGGTGAAACAAAACATCTGCTATTCTCATTTTTTGTCAGTGATGGGTAACATACAGAGAGATACTGTGGAGACAGGGAGGCTGCACTCCTCCACAGCATGCACACTGCTCAAATGCTTTGTTCTGCTTTGTACTGCTGCAAATTTGAGCAGCATGTTTTGTGTTTGTTGTTGCAGGAGCAGGGGGATTTTGGAGGTAGAGATGCGTTGCATGATTTGTGATCCCTCTGACCACCATCATGACAGATATTCTGCATGTTTTGGCTGATTTAGGATGCTGCACACAACTGTTGTGTTATTATGCATGTGTTGTATTGGCATTGCAGTGTGTTTTATGAGGTGCCTGTTTTCCCCCTCCTTGTGGACATGACTTCCTGAATGTGTCATGGGCACAATAACATGTTGTCTTGGCTGGAAGCCAGGCTTGAGTTGGTTAGTTTGGGTCAGTGTTTACATGAAAAGGCAAAGACATGTTGGATGTAGAGGGTGGTTAAAAAGACTGGGAGCTGCTAATGTGTTCAGGCAGCTGGTGTTTAGAGCATCCAGATGTTTTAGGGGCTTGTGCACCTTGTGTTTTATCTGTCACTCTATGAATACACTCAGTACAGTGATGTAAATGAGCCCTTTATTAGTGTTAAATCTGCCACATTTGGTCAAATATTTAATTATATGATTGATAGGAAATGAATTGGCAGTTGATAATCAGTCAAACATAACAAAAATGTGATATTTCCAGGTTCTTAAATGTGAGGATTTGCTGCTTTTCTTGGTCTCATATTGTAGTATACTTAATATTTTTTGGCTTGCAAACGTTGTTTGGACAAATAAAGACATTTCATGAAGTCACTTTCGGCTCTAGGATATTGTAAAAGACTTTACTCTTTGTTTTCTAACGTTTTGTAGAGACAATAATTCATCAGTTAATCAAGAAAACAATCTACATATTAACTGGAAATTAACATTATTATGAGTTGAAGCCCTAACTAATATATCACAGGTGTTGGCTGATCATGTTTTTGGACACTGTATATCAGGGATACTTAACTTGCTTTCCCTGGGGGCCACTTTTGCAAAATGGCAGGAGACCAGGGGCCCATTATAATCATATTTATCATTGTATATAATAAATGAATTGCCTGTTTTCCTTTTGACATTTGCTGTCTTCACTCTTCTTTGCCAATCTTAGCCAAGAGGCAGCAGCTCCACATAGGTTAATGGTATGCAGGGGTGTCTCTAGGATTTGGAGAAACCTTTGTTGGGGGGCTGGGGGATCCTCCACGGGCACTGTTTTTAAAAAACAAGCTCTGTTTTAGGGATTTTTTTATGCACTCTGGCACCTTACGTACATTCAAAGTAAAAAAATTGCAAGTGTGATTAAATTTATTTTCAAAGTGAATTAAAAAATGGTCAGCGGTCGACCTGACAACCTGTCGTAGGCCAGATTTGACTTGGGTTAGGGCACCAAAACCTGGTGCCTATGCGACTGGTACCAAGGTGACCAAATCACAGCACAGATTTCCCCCCTCATTTCAGTGCTAGATTGTGTGCGTGGCGAGTCGAAAGAGAGAAAGCGTGGGTATGTGTCTAACACGTGACAGTTAGGATGAAGTGTCTGGAGTATGACGTTAAGTAGCAGTGCAATGTGACTTTCAGTTTCAGCTATTTGTCAGTGAATGATGCTACGACTCTTCAAGACCCAAGCCAAGTTCCTGTGTCTTGCTTGCCACCTGCTGATTAAAGAGAAAGGGTTAGACCAGAAATTAGCGAGCTAAGTTAGTATCCCATAAATTGGACCCGTAGGGCAGACCAGCTATTCTTATTGTAGCAACAATCTGAGCTGCTCGTAAACAGATAATAGAGAAATATCTGGCTGCTAAGTCTCTCCTGTCATGAGTTTATATATAGTCTACTTTTACATTAAATTTGCCATTGCCCTTGTGTTGTGCCAGAAAGTGTTTAGGCACCAGTTCTGTCTTAAAGGGGTCCCGATACCTTTGGTATCTGAGGAAATCAATCGATATCCAACCCTAGATTTGGCCAGGCCGTAACCTGAATACCACAGCTGTTTAGGCTTTTCTTTTTGGTTAAACTTCAATCCCTAATCTTGATCCTGTTAACTCTAATCAGACACCTGAAGTGCACATCGTACTTAATGCTACGCTTTAAGCCGGCAAATGTGCAGTGGTGGAAGAAGTATTCAGATATTTTACATAAGTAAAGGTAGCTGTACCACAGTGTAAAAATACCCTGTTACTAGTAAAAGTCCTACGTTCAAAAGGTTAACGTTGGTATTTTTCAACCCTATTTTCCCATGGTTTTATGTTTGAGTGACTAATGGCAACAAACATTTTCAAAAATGGTCCAGTATTGAGAGCGCTGCAGCTGGTATCGGCCAAACAGGCTGCAATGTAATTCCTGCGGGCATTCGTTCAGTGTCAAGTGCTTATATTTGCCACTGACAGGCTCAGATTATTATTCAAAGTGTCTGGCAACATAATGGAAAGGATCCCTACAGAGATAGAGGTTTTTGTAACAGAGTAAGATCCTGAAATCGCTATTGGCAAACCCACAAGTCTCCATTGAAATAAACAGTAATTTTAGCCTGTATCGATCCAGTATATTTTCACATCTTGGGTGAATTAAGGGTTTATTTCAACCAAACCAAAGTTGGTGATTGTTGGAACAGTGGAACGACGAACCAAGATGACTTTTGTGAGTTATATTTTGCTTCTGTTGACTTTGAATGAAGTGTATTTTACATTTTCAAATTTATATTTATTTAAATCGAGTCTGGTAGCTTTGGCGATACTTATTTTGGGGCTGTTTCTAGTTAACAAAAGTGATCCTACTCTTTTACATGAAAGTCTGTCTCTGTTGGGATCCTTTCCATAATGTTGTCAGACACTTTAATAACAATCGGAACCTGTGAGTGGCAAAAACAAACACTTCTTGTTGGACCAATTTTAAAAAATGTTCCCATTTGTCTATTTTTAGATGTGAAAATAGGGTCCAGGTTGAAAGATACCAGAGTTACCCTATAAGTTTGAGCATCAAAATATACTTAAAGTACCCAAAGTAAAGTTACTTACTATGCAGAGTAATATTTTGCAGGTGGAGCTCATGTTATCTACTTTATGTATAGCTGTGTAGCTTGTCAATTTCCCCTGGGGATCAGTAAGTTATCTTATTCTTACCTGTAGTAGATCATAATTTATTTATTGATTATATTTTCTATTAATGATCTGAATCTGCAGAGTAACTAAAGGTGTCAGATAAATGTAGTGGAGGAAGTTTCCGTCCAAAATGTAGTGGAGTAGAAATATAATGCGTCAGAATATAAAAGGAAAATATAAGTACCTCTAAACTGTACTTGAGTACTCGGTTACTATCTACCACTGTCCACATACAGCAACAACATATTAAGGTTCCTCCAGCCCTTGTATTTATCCGTTCTTTACAGTGTATGTCTTTTGTTAGTGTCAGACAGTCTTTTATTCCTCACGGTAATAATATCTTGTCTTTCCATTGTTGCGAGCTGACATTTGCCTCTCACAGTGACGGCTGCTCCTCTGTATTTAAGAGGCTATTAATTGGTAATCTCTCAGATCCCATTGAGACTCTTAATTAGCGCTTTATTAAAGGCAGGTGCTCGGCAAGATCAACCAGTTAAGCTTGTGTATTGTGCGGCATGTTTTCATCCAGCCGCAGTGGCCTTCTTCACCTATTCCTTTATTCAGAACAACACTTTGAGTTTCCAGACACTATTGTTAATAGATATTAGCAGTCTGGCTCTTCACTAAACTTAATGTTTCCATTAGTTGTGATTGTCGAATGTGTGTTCTTTTTATATATGTTTCCAGTTCTCTGTCAAACCAATTTACCCGTTAGACTCTTTTCACTAAGGTTTGTGCCACGTTATTAAAAATTAAATTAGAGCTGAAATGAGTTTAGTTGATCGACAGAAAATTTAAGTAATTGCCAACCATTGCCTTGTTTTACTTTCTCAATTGTGAAAGTTTTTTCTGTTTTATGTGAAAGTAAAATTAATATGTTTGGATTTTTGGACAATGTTAGCGATTCAAAATGTCACCAGGGGCTTTGGGAATTTGCAATGGTTATTTTCTGCCTTTCAATTGAGAAAATAACTGGTAGATCAATTTCTATTGAAAATTATTGTAGTCAATTTATTAGCAGTAGAAGGTCATAATTAAGTGCGCTGATTCAACTGTATGATCATTTTAGAGGATGTATAGTGGCGCTGCTGAATTGTTTGTGTTGCATTATACTGGCAGGTGTTTCTATTATTTTGTCCACCTCATTTACACCAATTTCAGCAGGTTAAATCACAGAAAAACACCTCTCTGTATGATGCCAAATAGTTAAATAGCGCAATATTTAATATACAAGAAATGTCAAATATATTCGTCATTGTAAGGATTTGCTACTTTCTTTGTTTCATGTCATAATAAATTGAATTAATTTGGGTTTCGGGCTGTTGGTGAAGCAAAACAAGTCACATTACCTTCTTTTCACTATTTCCTGACATTTCATAGACTAAATGTGACCTTGTCTACTCTGTTGTTGAGCTGAGAATGACAAAGATGATTGTGTTTTGGATGGCAGACCATTGTGAGGTTT